CGCACCGTGGTATGCTTCGGGATCATCTGTTTCGGTTTAAAACTCGTCAGTAACGTCCAAGCAGTTGTGAATGAATACAGGTATGGGGCAACAATGGCCCCGGGGAAGTCTCAGCGTACACTCAGCCCGAACCTCTTTATCAATGTCCGTTAGTGGTTGATAATCGGCCTTTTTGATATCGATGCTCTTGTCTGCAAATGTTACGGGGACCACAACACTGCTAAAGTCGAGGAAATTGGTGACAGTGCTGTATCCATAGTATCTTAACTGGTTATGCCGAATTGCAGCTGTTGCCGTGACGGGAGCGATGATCGCATCGAGTTCTTTACCGGTCTTGACTTCGAACTCTCTGATCCTCGACAGGTATTCGCGCTGGATGTTCCATTTCTCCAGCTGAATATCCCAGAGTTGGTTCATATCCACCTTTTTGGATGAAGATGGATGGAGAAGTTGATCAATGTTAGGAATGGGCGGCTCGCCTGACTGCGCCATTGCCGTGAGCACATCCTATGAATATTTGTCAGCATGCTGAAGACTGTTAAGAGATAGTATATACAGAAAGAAATAAGATACTTACGGTTCCACCATCAGAGCCGTAAATGCTGTTGGTCAGATCCACGATACGAGGATGTTTGTAGGGCTCCCAAGGAACTACAGTGTGGCCGGCTCCCTTAACCAGGTCCACGACTGTCTGCACTGCTCGCAAGACCGGGGGATGAGGAGTAACCTTCAAAATTAGCATAAACCAGTAGGCAAAGAACGGGGATATAAAACACACATTCCCATCGCAGTCATAAAATCCTAGAACCAAATCTCCGGATTTGATTTTGGCCTTGACTTCGTCTTCCTCGGTCTGCCTCCACGGCAAGGGCACCACTTTGGAGTCGTGGTTCCATGGTTTCTCGGCCAAGACAGAGGTGACAAATAATTTCATATCCTGCATTGAGTGGCAGAGAGGACCACAAACGCTGTGGATTGTCTCCTGACCTTCCATACTGTTCGCCATCCCAGCGTATGGAAGTCTTCCATGACTTGGCCGGAGGCCATAGAGGAAGTTAAAAGCAGAAGGGATACGAATCGATCCACCTGTGGCAAGAAGTTATTATCCATTGCGTTGGGTAGAATCTGTACACCGTTCTCAAAAGCAAATTTGACTCACCAATGTCAGTTCCAACGCCAATAATACTGCCTCGGAAGCTTACAAGGGCACCTTCACCACCCGAGCTGCCACCACACGACCAATTCTTGTTCCGAGGGTTGACTGTTCGACCGTTTATGTTGTTAAACGTCTCGCCAGTCATCAGTGTCTGAGGAACACTCGTCTTGGCGTAAAAGACGGCGCCTGCGTTGTGAAGCAAGGTCACCAGGACAGAGTCCTCGGTATCATACTTTCCAACCCATCCGACGTAGCCCATAGTAGTTTCTAGGCCCTGATCGATATTAGCCTTTGGGCGATCTATAAAAGGAGCCGATCATTCGACTTACTTTGATACGGAATTGATCTTTCAGGGAGATTGGGAGCCCATGCAGTGGGCCAATTGTCTTCTTTGTTTTATCAAAATAATCGTCCAACTCCTTGGCCCTGGCGAGTGCCACCTCTGGGAAAAATTCATGGAAACAATTAACCTAAATTCTGCTCAATAAAGGCGCCTTTAGTCGCGGAATTGGAGTCTCTTTACCGTCTGGTGTGCAATAGCGGCCCTCTTGCAAAAGGCAGTCGTAACCGATACAGAGGTCAGCTCGCCTGCTGCCATCTTCTTGACAAGATCAACAGCTGAGCTATTGGTAAGCTGAAGCTCCTCGGGAGTCATTATCGCGCTTCTAGCGGGGTAATCCATGACGTTGTCATCACCGTGGAGGTCCTTGATGAGCCATTCTTGGGGAATAGACCCATCGATACGGCTCTTCTTCTCTGCTGCGACATCTTCCCATGCCATCTTGTTCGGTGTCTTGGAATAATTCTGGTATCTGAACGCTGTGAGGGTGGAGTCTTGGCTCGAGGAACCAGGCGGGGGCGGATTTGTTAGGTATAAAGTGCGGTCTATGTCTACCCGAAGATTAATACGATCACCTCATTTCAGTCATTTGTCATCAATGTTACGCAGATAAGCATTGCGGGAGCTGCCCGTTGTCCAACCCTCTGAATCTTGGCGCGCGGGGAAGCGGATGGGGCAAGCTGGAGGTTGCGATGCATCTGGTCCAATGGGTCAGCGGAAACCGGCGCATCCCCATTACGATTACGGCAGTATTATTCGCGACCAATCGTTTTAGGATGATATTGTACTAACAGTTGGTTGGCTAGCCAGTAGATAGATAGTGATGAGGCTCCAAGACATGTATTCTTGTGGTGTTTTGCTCCGACAATATAAACAAGTTCACTCCTCAGACAACGAACAGTGCGGATTAATAGCAGTATATCAAGCACCCACCAGCCTCTCTGGCTTTAGAGAGCTACTTTATAGTACAAGCTCTCTCAGTGTCATAATGATGACGGCCATGCAGCCAGAATAACGGTGCTGGCTTGAGGGCCTAGGCTGCTTTTACAAGAACATGCTTTCCTATAATGCATAGTAACGAGGTACTTCCCTCTAGTATCGAGGCGCTCTCTGAGCCACATCCACCAACCGATTATCAACAGAAACGGCTACGGAAAGAAGCTACGGAAAGAAGAAACAGACAGACAGTGATCAAAGAAATTACTCGCATATTGAAAGTGTAGAGAGAAACTTAACAGATTGATATTATGGGTTGTTGGAAGACACAGAGCATCGAAAATAACAGTACAATAACATAAACATGGAGGAATATTTAAGGATCTTGGTAGCTTTTAAATTTCCTTTTTAAGTAGGTAATGCCTAGGATAATAAACTACTATTATCATGAACTACATTGACCTCCAACTTGAGGCGAATACTATTGGAGCACACTGGCCATTGGCTATGTGATGTTTTCTGTAGGTTTACAAAATCCGAATGTGTCTGTTATTAAAATTAATTTACGCTAATGCACACAGTTGGAGCCATCAACAACAAAACAGTAGAGAACATGGCCGCGTGGAAGCTATCTGTTCTCCAATAGATGTTGTAAGCCTTACAGAGCGGTGGCTTACTACCCGGGTCAAAGTTATCGGGTATACGTCAATAGACCTTGAGCCATAAGAAGCTCTTTCAACTAGAGATTGACAAAGCATGCCACCTAGAAACAAAAGACTGCCCGTTGAGGTAGGCTATCGAGAGCGTACATGTATCTCAGAGTGGCGTCAACAAAGGATGCGGAGGAGGGCTAATATCTGGGGAAGCAATCAAGCATCAGAATGGGAACTTCCCAACATCTATATGTATTTGCAGCCGTTTCTTTACTGGTGACCAAGAATCAAAACACTAGAGGGACATCTGAGGAACCAAGAAACCTATGAGGACTACTGCATCCTCGAGCAAGAACTAAGATTCGACGTCGAAGGAATCAAACGGGGGTTTGCGAGGAACCAGTTAGGGGTATGAAAAAGAACCTCCCAGAAAGGGAAGTTCTCGGAAGTCTGTAGTGGCTCAGAAACGAAGTGAAGATTCGTGGAGATCCTTGCAACAACGATCCTTAGGTTACAACTGTAACAACCCAGAAAAAAGAAAGAAATGCCCCTCTATACTTGCTAGTTGTAGGCAATGCCGGTCATATTCATTAACTACGACTCAGTTGGAAGGCCCTTTCTCTACTTCCTGTCCCGAGGGCTTATTCGAAGTCGGACCTGAAATTCTTCATCACTGGACAAGATCGCTCGAGGTGATATCCAGCGCTGCATCTTCCCTTCCACCTTCCTGATTAATGGTATCATAACGCAATCTCGTCGGAGTACTTACCCTTGCAAACGCACTTGATCTCCAAGGAATACATCTGCAGCCTTATTATTCCCTGCCCTGTCGCCATTTTTTGTGGAGGCTTCCACCGGCTTGACCGACCACGGAATATGCCATCACCAGAGGACCAATCATCACAGCCACGATATGACACATTCTATATCACCAGACATAATGATCTGAAGGTATATGGTCTTTCAAACTTCACTTGGACACGGGTCGTTGTGGGCTTACCCACAGCAGCCTTCCCAGCACCAGCGTCAGAGATACCTCCTCTACTTCCTCTTCACCCCAGGATTCCTTCTTAACGACGGCCAACTTCCATTGATATTCTTTCGGATTGGCCTTGAGATGTTACCGCTAAAGCTAAAACTCACCATACCGATCTAGTTCTAGCCCGCTATCGGGCATAGTCTTCCCACATTCCTTTCGCCTCTCTTAATTTCGCCATCCTCGAAGCTAGAGATCCATCTCTAGATTCTCTTTGCCTTTTGTGGGATGTCAGTTAAATATAGTGCTAGCACACAGACATCTCATCTATTTTGAGGTTCTATTGCAATCAATAGGGGATTTACTGGCGTCAAACAGATCGCATAAAGTCCGGATGAGGCCCTGGTTATTGAGCCCTCCCAGGAGGCTAATGTTGCGCATATCGGAAACATTCCAATCGCAAGGCGAGTTTAACCATCCTGCGGGATTACGAATGTGGAGACGCCTTTCAGAAATGGCAGACAGGGGCTCGCTTTCGTAAACCGTCATGTCTTAGCCTCTCGTTCTGGCCGCTGGGAATTTCACCTTGTCTGAAAGCATAGACCACGAATCCTACGCTATCTATTCTCGGCACCCTTGTCCCCAGGCTTTAACTACCGGCATCAAATCGATATCGCCAAGGTATTGATCTTCTCTGGGTATCTGGATGCCAAACTGTCTGTTATATAAACTCTGGCTTCTACTCTCCATTTCCGGCTGTCAACAAACATCCAAAAAACATCACAACTATTAGGCGCTGGTCTCCTAGTTTTTCCTAGTGTTTCTTACTCACTTCCCTTCTCTACACTTTCTTTCCAGGAATTTTTCATTTCCTATCTTCATTACTGCTCCCTCCACGTTTATATTTCTTTCAACTCAATACTTTTCCTAGCTGTCAAGATGGTCGCCACTAAGGACCTCGGCCTCGCAGGGCTTGTCTGGCTCTACCTCGCCGGGAAGGGACTTGCTCTCGGAGTTGATGAAGCCACCAACGATCTCACCCTTGTGGAGAGAGATTTCGCCGAGGAGCTCGATGTTCGCGACTTTGACGATGAGCTTTATGAGCGAGACTTTGATGACGAGCTCTACGAGCGTGACTTTGACGATGAACTCGACGAGCGCGACTTTGATGATGATCTCGAAGAGCGAGATTTCGATGACGAGCATCTCGAGGTCCGTGGAGGCGCTAGCATCAACCTTCAGGAGCAAAGAATCACTGGCATCAAGAAAAACAGACCTATCCCTGATCCTCCCAAGCAGATTGATACAAAGGCATACTGGGCTAGTAAGGGGCGGAACTACAGGAGAGGCCTTTATACTCGTGGAGGCGCCACAGTCAATCTTCAGGAGCAGAGAATCACTGGTATCAAGAAGAACCGGCCTATCCCTGATCCTCCTAAGCAGGTTGATACCAAGGCATACTGGGCTAGTAAGGGGCGGAACTACAGGAGAGGTCTCAATGCTCGTGGAGGCGCTACAGTCAACCTTCAGGAGCAAAGAATCACTGGCATTAAGAAGAACAGACCTATCCCTGATCCTCCCAAGCAGATTGATACCAAGGCGTACTGGGCTAGTAAGGGACGGAATTACAGAAGAGGTCTCAATGCTCGCGGAGGTGCCTCAATCAATCTCAAGGAACAGAGAATCACTGGCATCAAGGCCAACAGACCTATCCCTGCCCCTCCCAAGGAGGTTGACACCAAGGCATACTGGGCTAGCAAGGGACGGGGCTAAGCGTAGAAGCTCCGAAAAAACATCACATACAGAAACTCGAAAGTTGATGTTTTTGCTCCTTATTGCGATACACTCAGTGGGGTTTGGGTACAGGATAGCTGGCAGTATTTCAAGAAGGCATGTAGGATAGGGCAACTCTGAGGTCGAAAAGAAGCAGTGGTATGTTAGACGTAACTGGAATTCAATTCATTAGAATGTTGACATTCAATTTCACTCTTTTGACAAAAAGTTTTTGTTCCTTAAACCAAGGCATTCTACCCTTAATTTGATTAGAGACAAGTTCATCCTCTAAAGTAAAGGTCAGTACCTGTAGCTTTACCAGACATGACACCCTCTCTAAATTAAAACATCTGATATAATCAAGCGAGCATTCTCATCTGTGAAAAATTACCCAGTGGTCAAAGGAACAGCCACAATACCCTAGGTTCTGGCGGAGCGTAACTCCCAAGCTTGCTGATGGAGACCTTGATTACTGTGAAAATAAATGTGAATTTAAGCAAACAATACTAACTCTGGCACAGTCATTCAGTCCAGGTCTCATGCAGTGTAGCAATGTCAACTTTGCTAGAGTCGATGACATATCGGATCAAGTCCTCCGGGTTCCCACCACTTTCAAAGGCGGTCGACCCATTTCCAAAATACTCAAACCTGTTCTTTTCCGCGCCATGTCTACGGGCAAAATCGAAGTCTTCCCATCTCGGCTCCCGCAAAGCCTGTGCGCGATGATGAAAAGTCCCCGGCCAGCTAATAACGACTCGAGTCGCTCCCTTTCCTTGCTTGAACCATGAGTTACACTTGTCGGTCAAAACGCTATTCTCAAAAGCGGCAGCACATATGTCATTAAACTCTTGAGCGGCATCTTCTTTCGGGTCCAGAGATGAATAAGATTGCGACTGGACCTTGCGGATGGCTCTGGCAATATAAGTAGCTGACAGCTCGGTCTGGAGTGGGACGCTTCCGCCGCGAGCATTCCCTTGCGCTTGGAGCACGAAGAAATAATTCGGGTAGCCAGGCGCCATAATTCCGAGATAGGTTTCCGGATAGCCAATAGGACCGTCAATTGACCATTTATCACGGAGGTCAGTCCCATCCGTACCAATGACAGGAAAGCGGGAGTTGAAGCTGGGCTCGAAACCAGTAGCAAGAATGACAATATCCAGCTCGCGTTCGGTGCCATCTGCAGCAAGAATCCCCGTAGGTGTGAAACATTTGATGCCCTCAGTGATATACTCGACTTTGTCACTCTTGACTGTTTCGAGGTATCCAGGAGCAGGCGTAAGCCTCTTGCACCCAGGTGCATAGTCTGGAAGGACTCTCTGTAGCCACTCCTCATCGCCATCGAGTCTCTCTCGCATAACTTCTATGATCCTTTCTCTGAGGGCGTTATTTTTCTCACTACCCAGGCGATCACCACCAGGAGGGTGGTGGAACTTGCTCTCAAGTTCACGTCTGTGCTCAAGAAGGACGGAAGGGTCCTCTCTAAAGCGAGCCTGCTGCTCTTCAGAATAAACTGGTCCACCGGGGGCATCTTTGGTGGCTTGATGCAAGTCTCTAACAAATGTCGGTGTAACCCAGGTTTTGTTCCTGACATAGTGATAGATCTTTTCTACCACGGGTGCAATGTTGGGGAGAAGCTGCTGCCCTGATGCTCCGTTGCCAATAATTGCAACCTTTTTCCCTGAAATGTCGAGTTCGGAAGGCCATCGTGCAGTATGAATGACGGGTCCTTGGTATATGTCACGCAGTCCTGGGATGTCTGGATAGTTGGGATCACTGATTCGTCCCTGGGCATTGACCAAGAAATCAGCCGTATCCACGAAAACGTTGCCAGATTGAAGTTCACGGACTTCAACAGCCCATTTCGACGCGTCTTTGAGCCATGTGGCGCGAACGACTTGATGCTCTGTCTTGACATTTTCGGTCAAGCTATGCTTCTCAAGCACTCGCTCATAATATTGTTGGATCTCAGCGCCTTTGGGGTAATATTCGGACCAGTTGGGATTGGTCTCGAAGCTGAGCTCTAGATCTATCTCAGTATTACGTAGTTAAATGTGTCTAATGATCCGGACTTACGATACACATGAGAGGGAACATCACAGCGAACACCGGGGTACACATTAGCCGCCCACGTTCCGCCCTAGCAATAATAATCCTGTTAGATCCTTTAGGTATGGTTCTCGGGGAGTGTTGACGAACCACCTACCACTTTGGAAAACTTTTCGTATGCTGTAATCTTTGCGTTGGGTACCTTGTGGGAGAGAAGCACAGCTGTTGATATACCGGAAATACCAAGCCCCACGACAATCACCTAGCAAATGTCAGCCAGGTGAGATCGAAAACCGATGACTTAAAGTTTGGTAAGGATATTCATACCTTCACATCTCGGTATTGGTCCCATGGCTTATTGTCTGGATAATACCTACCTTCTAATCTAGGTGTATCCTTTGGGGACTCTAGATGGAAAGGAACTTTGCTAGAATCGGCAACCATGTTGTTGATAGGTCACACGGCGAAGTGATGGCTACACAATGGACTGAAACTTTCAGTAGATCATATGCATATATCTCCACCGCTACATGTTTAAAACAGGTCTCGTCTGGATTTGTCAGTTGATGTTTTTAGGACATCTTCTACGACTTCAAAGTCGCAAGCCGGTATCGCACTCCGCCATATGATACCATCGCCGGGGTTCATGGTGGCATCGATAACCATCACTACCCAGAGCCCCGCAACCTTAATGAGGCTAACAGAAGCGCTGATTTGGTAGACCAATCCGTATGTCAAATTAAGGATTTAGCCGGGCTTAAAACCGTGATGATAAGTCCGCGTGAGTTTTCGCTTTTTCCTTGGCTGAGACGCCACTCTGCGGGTCTTTCGCGATACACGCGAACCACAGCACAGAGCACGCGAAAATCCCCAGCAACATCGTCATTTTAGAGTGATCATGCCTGGTTGAATGTAAACTATATGTATATAGTGCAGTTTACTAGTCTTTTACGATCGATATGAAGCATGACGCCTTGAGAGACTCCACACGCTCGTTGCAGACGAACGACCCAGCCACCTGGTTCTCGGGATACACTATAAAGCTGGCGAGCTGAATGGAACTTGAATCAGGAAGAACCAGAAGTATCTCTGCCTTCCATACTCCGTTGAGACCTTTGTCTGAGTTTTCGGGCTTTTGGAATACTCTTTACGATGGCGTCCAAGGAGCAAGTCATAGTTGCAGCCCAGGAGGCCGACGACTCCTCGAATCAAAACCAACCTACCACATATGGTGCCAATCGCAATCCGAGCTCGGAAAAAAGGTTCTTTGCATGGTTTGATGCCAATGACGGGCCGCTCGAACGTCGTACCATCACAAAGCTCGACTTTTTCATTCTCTCCTATGCATTCATCGGCTTTTGGGTAGGCCAACATTAATTTTTCTCCTTTTTGGGTTTTCTTTTAAGATTTTGAGGAGCTGGCTAACCCTGACAAGGTGCTGTATATCGATCGTGGCTTGTTAACCAATGCCTATATCAGCGGAATGAGAGAGGACCTTGGCCTGTTCGGCAATGAGCTTGTTTCGCTTAGCTCGATTTATTCAGCAGGATACTGCATGTAGGTCATTCAGTTTCAGTGTCATATTTTTGCTTTTCAAAACCAATGACTGATTATTGTTCTCAACTAGCTCAATGATACCTGCCACGCTGTTTTTGACCAAATTCCCTGCTCAATATGTCATCCCTACGACCATTCTTGGCTGGGGCGTGTTCACCATTCTTTGCTTTCGCGCTCAGAGCTATGGAGAATTAGCTGGCTATCGTTTCTGTATTGCACTGTTACAAGGTCGGTGTTTTGTTTCAATCAGCTATTCCTTTCTTGAAATTTGCTAACACGCGGAATTTAAAGGCCCCTACTTCTGCTCTATTCATTACATCCTCGGAAGCTGGTATCGCAAAGATGAGCTTGTCCGCCGAGCAGGAGTCTTTTACGTCTCCTCCAGCGTTGGAACCATGACCACAGGCCTCCTAGCCGCCAGAATCTACCAGTCGCTCCACGGAGCTCTTGGATACCCAGGATGGCGATGGATGTATCTCGTTGCCTCCTGTATCACATTCCCCATCGCCATCTGGGGCTTCTTCTCACTACCCGGAACGCCCAGAGACGGAAAGCGATGGTTCTTCACAGAAGAGGAGTTCGGAATCGCGAAAGAGCGCATGGCTCTGCAGGGCCGCAGCAACCCCAAGGGCTTTACGCTCTCTAAAGCTACTTTGAAGCGATTTTTGGGAAGATGGCATTTCTGGGTGTTGGTGCCCTGGAACATCCAATGGCTTATGGGTTATCTGAGCATGGGTACCGGTGGACCTACTTTATGGCTACGAGCTCAGCCTCAGTATTCAACGGTGCAAGTCAACAACTTTACCGTAAGTCTATTTCATTGGTTGTCATTCCGTGATACCTTATGATGAAATGCATACTGAAGGCCTCGTGTCGCAGGCGATATCTCCCAGCATAGGTATAGTTCTTATCATGACCTTCTCTTGGATCGTTGATAAGAAAGGGCGAAACGCCATCTTGCCTGTCATTGCTGTGGCATGCGGAATTCACTTTGTCAGCAAGTTTGCCTGGATTCTTTACGATACGACGAGCTTCGAATACAAGTGGTAGGTAGATTGTCTCTGAGACACTCTCCCGCATCACATTATATTAACAGTCTACAAGGTTCGCTACGGCTATAAACTACATCGAAGTCTCCCTGTCCCCCATCAACTACAGCGTTGCCAACTTGGCATGTGCTGGCGACGCTGAAGAGCGCGCATTTGTTGTAAGCTCTATGCTGGCACTATCCACAGCCTTCAATTCTTGGGTCAGCTATGTCGCATTTCCAACTGTTCAGGCACCACGGTTTTTCAGGGGCTATGTTATGGAGGCAGTCTTCCAGGTTACCTACGTTGGATGGACTGCTTTCATTGTCTGGTTCTCAAATAGACAGGACGAGAAGGAAGCGGCGAGAA